GTGCGTGCGTGCGTGCGTGCGTGCGTGCGTGCGTGCGTGCGTGCGTGCGTGCGTGCGTCCGTGCGTGCGTGTGTTCGTGCGTGCGTGTACGCGCGCGCGCGTGTGTGTCTGTATGTGTGTGTATGTGCGCGCGTGTGTGTGTGCGCGTGCGTGCGTGCGTGTGTGTGTTGGTTTAACGGCTGCAGTTTTTTTCCGTATCAGGTCCTGTATACTGACCAACCCTTGGTTCTCTGCGCACCCACTGGATCAGGGAAGACGGTTGTATTTGAGCTTGCCATTGTGCGCTTGTTGCTGCGCATGGAAGCAAGTGGTCCCATTACCAACGGCAAGGTGGTCTACAGTAAGAGATCTCGCTATCTTGCTCTCTAGCAAATCCTAGCATCTCTCCATCATTGCCTCATTTATATTCTTCGTGCGTATCACTCTTCCTCTTCCCCGTACTCTCTCTCCCCTTCTCCCTGTTTCTCTCCGTTTCTCTCTTTCGCTCTCTCCCCTTCTCGCTCCTTCTCTCTCTCTCTCTATCTATCTCTCTCTCTCTGTCTGTCTCTCTCTCTCTCTCTCTCTCTCTCTCTCTCCTCTCCTACCTGCTCTTCCTCCTTCCTCTTCTCTTCCTTCTCCCTCGCACTATCCCTCTCCCTCTCAACTCCCTTGTCTACTCCCACTCCACTTGTCCGCTTTACGAATCGCTCTCGCTATCTGCTATTAACATATCCTCTAGGTTTTGCAGATGTACAATGGTAACTTGAGTATGGCTTTATAATGTTCGTCAATTATACAAGTCGGCATAAGCTCGCTCACGTCGACACTGCTCGAGATCTTAGCGCACGTATAGTAGCTGTAGAAGTAGACGCTAGTAAAATCAGCGCACATGACGCGTTCGGTCGCTCCGTTACAGGCTAGCTCCCATCGCAGGCTTCTTCTTCTTTGTCGTAGTCTCTCGCGGAGACGAGCAACGCTGAGACGTCAGCTAGGGGCTGACGTTCCTGCTGATGATTCCTTTGCAGTGGCCCCCGTCAAAGCACTCTGCAGTGAACGATGCGCCGACTGGAGCGCCAAGTTTGGTCCTCTGGGCTTGCAGTGTACCGAGCTCACCGGGGACACACTCACCGACGAGTACTACGCACTACAGTCTGCCCACGTCGTGCTTACCACGCCCGTAAGCTCAACCACAGATGCAGGGGAGGGGGCAAAGAATCTGCCAAGACTAGCGCTTTAGTTCACATGCTAATAAAGTTTACCTCAGTTAGATCCAAATTAAGTTAAAAATAACTTACACTGACGAAATTTTTGTTCATCTCTCCGATAGACGTTCTCAGGTTTGATGTTTCCAGGTAGATGGCTTCAGACCTGAGGAGGAATCGGATAGATGGAGGAAAATTTCGTCAGTGTAAGCTATTTTTAACTTAATTTGGATCTAACTGAGATAAACTTTATTAGCATGTGAACTATAGAGATCCGATGAAATTATTTAATCCTCTAGCGCTATAATTTTATTAGATTAGTGAAATGTCAGCATTGTCACTATAGGTTACTTAGGATGGCCAACGGTCAAGACGACCACTAGCGGAGAATGGGGAACTGTAATGACTGCTATTAATTATGAACGGGTAATGTTAGGATATTGACACATGCAGGGTTGGTAATAGGAAAGGCTGTTGCAAACTAGTTAAGCATGGGGGGCCTGTGAGAGAAAATATTACAATCGCATAAGCGAGGTTCAATGAGAGGCTTGGATCTGTTGGTTGAACAAGTGAACAAGATGGTGATGTTTTTTAGGGTTGTGTTACGTAAACGTACTTGTGTAAAGTATAAAGTTATTCTTCTCTCTCTTAGGTGCCTAGATAGCACATAAGGCTTACTTACTTACTTACTTACTTACTTACTTACTTACTTACTTACTTACTTACTGATCCTCTTGGTTCCCCGGTGGCACATAAGGCAGTAACGTGTAAAGTATCAGGTGTGTATTACCTCCCCTGTCAGCCGTGCATGCGACGTGAATGATAAACTTAGGTAAAGATGGCCAATCAGTAAATTTTTTGGTCAAAGATCAAAATAATTAGTAATTACTTTGATCTCTGACCGCCCAGGTTGTGGTTGTTCGACAAGGCATGGTAGGTGACGTGTTACTGTTCGTCGTATTACGTCCGCGTGTCCCTTATCTTTAGGAGAAATGGGACAGCATGACCAGACGATGGAAAGACAACAGGTCGTTAGTGAAACTCGTAAGGCTGTTCCTCGTTGATGAGGTAAATTAGTGATAATAATGATGATTATTGTTATATTATATATATATGCGTGTGTGTGTGTGTGTGTGTGTGTGTGTGTGTGTGTGTGTGTGTGTGTGTGTGTGTGTTCGCGCGT